TATGTTCATTTGCTAACATCAATGAAACAAGTAAAGAAAATACTCCAATGCAGTAGCACCTATTTAGATGACAGAAGAAACTCCAATGCAGCACAGATGTGAAAACCACAGCTCTTATGCAGGGCATCGAGAAACAAACCCTTATTTCACGCAGTGATGAAAAGTGAATAGTTCAGATTTAAAAACAAAAACAAAAGCAAAACTAATAAAAGTACGATAAATCAATCCAACGAGACAAATCAGACACAACTCTTTCTGATTTTCACCAATTGCCACAATGATTTTTAGTTGCTGAATTCGTGACAGGACTGACAACACATTTTAAAGACAACCTGTTTATCAATGACATTGCGATCGGCAAATTGTTTCGATAGGAAACATTATATCTGAATTATGCATCCAAAATCATCAAATTCTGCACTTTCAAGAGAAACCCTACCCAAGTATGTCAAATTCCAAAACCAAAAACATGCCCGTATCCTCTGGAAAAAAAGATCCCGACAAACTCTCTCTGTATTCTCCACCACAGTTGCATTCCAATATCTACATTACCAAAGGCACCAAATCAAAGCAATCAGCAATGCATATAAGAAAACAGTAAAACTCACAGAATCCCAATCAATGAAACTATAAACTGAGAAGAACCCATTAATTAAAAGCTCAAATCAAAACCAACCTGTCTTCCTCGGGAATATCCGAATGTGTTAGCTTGACAACAGTGAGCCAGGTTCAGGCTCTTCGAGTGTAAGCCTCACCTGCAAAAGTTCAAACGAAACACACTCAGTCCACAAATCACAAAACCAATTAAAATCAACCAAAAATACGTTCAACCAAAAGCAAAACTTCACATACAGTTAATCAACCCATCAAACCAGCTCCCAAATCTCCACTTCTGCACAATCAAACTCCCATTCTGCAACTCCAAATTGGTAATCGACACCGACCCATGAAAAATAGTATACTAATCTGCCCTCCAACCTCCTTGCTTATCTAAGCATTGCTCTGACTAAAACGACCCTTCCATCTATGATTTAAGAATTTCTCAAACAACCAAGAATGAAACTTCTAAACTAATACTCACCTAACTCAACTACAAGAAACATATCTTGGGTTTATTCATCCTATATTGAACATTGACTCGACTAAATAAAAAAAGTGGAGCAGCTCCTCACAAGTGTAAGGGATTATCAGAGCATCATACATTCGAAATTTGGCGGAAAAAGGGCAAAAAAAATTTGGACCATTTCTCGATTTATGCGTGTCATCCTTGCGCAGGGGCCATGCTAATCTTCTCTGTATCGTTCCAATTTTATCGGATGTCCCCGAAGGGACAAGCTTGAGCCTTAAGCGAAAGTATATAAAGAACTCGTCAAATACACAATTCTTCGATGTGGGACAAAGCCTCCGCGGATTTTAATAGTAAGTTATTCCTGTTTTTTTCCTTTATTCCAAGTTGGTAATGATGTAATCTATCAAAAATAAAGTAGAAATTGTATTTCTATTAAAATACCACAGTAATCAGACATATAGGAAGGTCCATAATTAATTCATTAGGTAATCATCCATGCATCCCCTATGAAAAGGACCAAAACTGTAGCAGACAAATCATACGTCAGTCCAGCTTAACTTTTACTCAATTTTATTTAAATTTGATTACATTTATTGATTGTTTCAAGACGTAGTCATACTGGTTAATTTATTTGATTTTATGTGTTTTTTAGGATCTTTTCTATTGAGAGTGACAATAGAATATTAAACTCATACACACTACAACAATGCTAGGACTCGAATGGGAGCATTTGCTCCAAATCATTACACTTAGTGAGTCCTTTGATTTCATGTTTTAATGATCAAATTTGAGGCTAAAGGTTGTATCGTAGATAATCAACTATGTCAATAAATGGAATCAATGCTTGAGAATTTCTTCTTATATATCACATTCATATCTTAATTCCAAAATACTAAATATGTGTCGGTGATAATATTATATGAATAGCTTAAATTCCTCCTAGTAGTTTGAGTAGATGAAACTCCACCTTTTAGAGAGGTGATCGGAGAGACTCATCCTGCTTCTTTTTCAAGTTCAATTTAAGTTGGGCAGCTTAAATTCCAAAATAAGTGGTTATATTTTCGGGTTATAAGGCCATCTCCAACGCATGAAGCCAAACTTGAAATTTTCCAAATTTTAATTCAATTTTTCTCCTAATTCAGAAAAGTAACGGGTTAAAATTTTCGAAAACTCAAACTTGGGGCCAAATATCAGTGTAGTTATTGATAGAACTAGAAAACTTTTTGGTGGAGCCTACTCAAAGCTGACGCAGTCTATGTGCAAGGAGGAATCAATGGGACACCAAGTGTTGCGCTGTTGTTGTTGCAAAAGCTGGGAAGCACTGGTTTCACAATACTTTTTTTTTCTCAAAAATAACCCAAATCACCGACCCATATTAAATCAAAGTTATTGTAACGATAAAAAAAAGATCCAACAGCTGAAATTTAAATCTAAAGGTTAAAATAATATTTTAAATAATCTAAATTGTATCCAATCCAAAACTCACTCAAAACTTTATAAATACCCACCTATTTCTCAAATAAAATTGTATTTATGGAATTTCAATTTTTTTAGGTGAAACTGTTCAAAAAATTAAATTATGAAGTTATTTAAAAAGATTAAATGAAGAAAAGTTATCCATAAAAAAAAAAATTAAACTGAAACTATTCTTGAACAATTTAATAAAGTTGCAGACTTAAAATTTGAGTATGAAGGATTGGGGGAAAAAAAACGATTTGAGTCCGGGCAAAACCCAAATAGTTACTTTTTAAAATGAAGAAATTTGGGTTTATGACCAAACGGGTTGGAGAAGGCTTAATGAGGAGGTTCAATCCATAGTCAATAACAACTCTGCAGTGCACTAGATCGAACGATTGCTAAGGACCCCCTTATTATTACCCCTTATTGTAGCCTCCATGAATACAATCTAAACATAAAGAGAAGAAAAATAAAAAGAAGGGTAAAATAGTCTTGCTGTGCAAAGAAAAAAAGGGAGAAAGTACAAAATAGTAAATTCACACGAGACTATTGGAATTAGAAGTGATGTGGGTTATATCCATATTATTCGACTCATTTTATATTTGATCATTTGTGTTTGTATTGGGTTGGGGATAGTTGAGTATATCCAAATTCAGGCGGGCATGTCTCTTTAGTGTGTTTGACATAAAAAAAATTAAAAGTGTTTTGTGGAAGTATTCTTTAGCTTTCTAGAGAAGCAATTACTTGCTTCTTTATAAAGCACTTAGATATTTATAAAAGCTCCAATACAGTTCTAGTGAAAGTGCTTATAAACAGAAGTTCTTCTTACGAGTCCTGGAGTAGAAATGTAGTAGTGCACAATTCGGGTACTAAAATTTGATAGACAAAGTGGTTGTTTTGTGAGCAGTCAAGCTATGCGAGAGTTTGACAACATAGGACTTGAGTGGTGATTGGCATTTGTGAAGCATACAAACTAGGGAAGGCTATGAGATTTTAGGGACCTCGTCCAAATGTGTAATAGGGCCTTTTAGAGCAAAGTCCCGAACAAAAATATATAAAAAGACATAGACCATATATATTGATAATAAATTTATAACTACTCATCAATATCTATTTTAAATTATAAAGGATTAAACAAATAATTTAACAAGGAGCATAAAATCAAAAACTCATAGTTCATCAAATTACTAATTATAATTAAACAAACAAACAAAAAAAAAAAAAACTACGGCCGGTGTATTTAGTAGATCAAGAGCTCCTATTATATGTAATATATTATGTGAGAAAATTAAACTTGGTACAAGACTACAAGTGATTTATGGGAGAAAATTAAACTTTTTCTTGCCAATTATTATTGTAATTTGGATCATTAATTAGATGAAATCTTGTTTGAATGTATAATTTAAATTAATAATCAACAATGTAACACGTAAGATATCCAGGAAAAGAACCTTTTACACCGTGTATATTTGTTTCCACAAAAGAAGAAGAGAGCAGACTAAGAATACTTTTACAAACGAAATCAAAATTTTGTGTGTTGATCAACTTTCGTACCATCACACATGTGGAGATTTTTTGTTGAAGCAGTCTATCGGACACATCTCCACAATCTTCAAATTGATGATACGTATGCATGAACTAGGTACATTTAGTCTGGCACTTATGCATTTCGGTACCGAACCTTCACAATAGTATCCACTAAGAGCAGTTCCAGCCATGCAGCCCAGCCCGAGGGGAGGGGGGAAAAAAACAAAAATCTCGTTCCAGCGCATGAGCCCAGGCCCGGGGGGGTGTGGGACCCACCTACCGGGCTGGCCCGAAGGCAACTTCGCCCCAGGTCCAAAACGCGGGGGGGTGACGTCACGACGACGTCACGCTGACGTCGTCACGCGGTTTTCAATTTTTTTTACCGTTGGCGCGTGCAATGCACGCGCCAACGTTAAAAAAATTTGAACCCGCGTGCGCTGACGTCAGCGCGACGCAGGCCACAACGGGCTGGAAGCCACGTGGCACGCCCCCAGCGCTCCGATTTGATTCCACAGCTTCATCCAACGGCTGGCGATTTTTGCGACAATAAAATTATGAAAAAAAATCGAAATTTTTTTTAAAAAAATACTAAAAAATACTTTCAAATTCTGATTTTTTTTTCCTATAAATACCTATAAATACCCTTCACTTTCAACACCAATTCTCATACATTTTATTCTACTTCTACAATTCTTCAACATTTTTCACTCTTCACTCTTCACTTCACATTTTCATCTCTTTCACCTTGTATTTTATTTCTTATTTTTATGGCTTCTTCTATTGAAACCGGAGGGGCGTGGAGCACCATGGAAGATGTTTCTTTGTGTGAGGCTTGGCTCCGAGTTTGTCATTGTCCCTGACAGGCAATGAGATGAAATTTTTCCATATGTGGAAAAAAATTCATGCCGAATTTTGCGAAAAAATTCCGGACTCGCCTCGTACGGAAATGGCATTGTCGAGTAGGTGGAAACTTCTCAACAAAGAGATGGCAAAATGGAGAGATGCCTTGGCAAAAGCGATGAACTTGTATAGAAGTGGGGAAAATCGTACTAACGAGGTAAGTATTTTGTAATTTTCGTTTTATTAAGTTTAATGTCCTAATATATATATGTTGTTAATATTTATTGCATTTTCAATATTTTGTTAATATTTCTTGCATTTTCAATATGTTGTTAATATTTCTTGCATTTCCAATTGTTTCTTCATATTTCTTGCATTTTCAATATGTTGTTAATATTTATTGCATTTCCAATTGTTTCTTCATATTTCTTGCACTTCCAATTTATTTGTAAGGTTAATTGCATTTCCATTATTTTTATTTTGTTACTTGCATATCCAATATATTTTAAATATTTATTGCATTGCCATTTTTTTGTTAAATAGCTCATTCAAGCACAGATGTGGTTCGGTGCAACCGGGGGTGGCAAAAAAAGGTTCACCCATCATGAATGTTGGGAGGTGGTGAAATATTGTAAACGGTTCACAATTATTCCCACGGGTCCCGACGTTGTGTTAAACGAGACGCCTCTCCGTGATTCAACGACATCGGATTCACCTCTCGATTCCCCTATGAGTGAAGACTCACCCATCCAAAAAGAACCGAGGCCCATTGGCCGAAAGGCTGCGAAGGCAAAGAAAGCGGGTAATTCAAGCAATTTTAATTCAAAGTTTTTGGAGGAAATTGCAAGGCAAAACTCCATAAGAATTGAAATGGAGCAGAAACGCCAAGATATGGAGGTGGCAATTCAAGCCGAACATCACGAGAAAAGGAGTATTTGCGCAAAAAAGATCAGCAGAAGACGGATCGGGAAACCATGGCAATGGATACAAGTCATATGTCCCCCGAAACAAAACAATATTGGAAGCTAGAACGGAGGGATGTTATGAGAAGAAGACTTTTCCAAGATGATGGGCCTAGCAACACCGATTGGTTAAATGATCAAAACCATTAAATTAGTTGGCATACCTTTTATGTATTTTTATTTTTCATGTTTTGTATTAAAGTTGGTGTACTTCATGTATTTTATTTTAGTAGTAGTAATTCTTAATGACTTGTATTGGATTTCTTTATTTAATAAACAAAGCATTCAATAAAAGACCATTTTATTCAACATATTCCATACATCAAACATAACATAATTAAAATGAAAACAAAAACTACAAACAAGGCACAATAATAAATAAAAAAACAACACAACCAAACCATAAGCAATAGTAAACAACACAACCAAACCATAAGTAAATAAAACATAACCAAAGCATCTATGCTCCATCATTCATCTTCATTCCCTTTCACCGCCCATATATGCTCTATCAAGTCAAGTTGACGGCTTTCATGAATATACGAAGATTGCATCTCTGTATATCGATCTATCATCCGGGTCATCATACGATCGTCCCTCACCAACGGTTCCGGCTCAAACGGTTCTCCATTTGGCCCCATGGGCATTTCATAAATCCGGGTCATCGCCGTGTTTATTGGATCCGGCTCATAGACCTCTCCAGCATCATAATCGTACTCATCCTCCACAATCATATTATGGAGGATGATGCAAGTCATCATAATGCTTCGGAGGATCTCCTCATCAAACATACGGGCCGCACCTCGAACAATCAACCATCGAGCTTGAAGGATGCCAAAACACCTTTCGACATCTTTCCTGTATCCTTCTTGATAGGTAGCAAATAATTTTTGCTTATGGGATCGGGGATTCGGAATGGATTTGACAAATGTGGTCCACCTTGGGTAGATACCGTCAGCTAGATAATACCCCGTCTGGTAGACTGTATTGTTGACTTGATAGGTAATATTGGGGCCTTGGCCGCTCAAAACATCGTTGAAGACCGGAGATTGACCCAGGACGTTGAGGTCATTTTGGGCTCCGGCAACTCCGAAGAAAGCATGCCAAACCCATGTGTCGAAGCCAGCAACGGCTTCCAGGATGATACTTTTTGTGCCTTTTCTATTTCCGTAATCACCTTGCCAGGCAGTTGGGCAATTCTTCCATTGCCAATGCATGCAGTCGATGCTACCAATCATTCCTGGAAATCCTCGAGCTTCGGCTTTTTGTAGAAGCCGTTGGAGGTCCCTGGGAGTAGGTCTACGCAGGTAGTCCCTAGTGTACAGATTTTCAACTGCATCACAAAATCTTACCAAAGCCTCCAACGTAGTGGACTTCCCCATTCGGGCAACCTCATCCACCTGATCAGCAGATGCTCCATACGCCAACATTCGTATAACAGCTGTAAGCTTTTGCTCCGGAAGAAGGCCCAAAACCCCAGTAGCATCACACTTTTGAACAAAGTATGCATCATAATTGCAAATATCATGCATGACTTTATTGAACAAATGAGGTTGCATTCTAAATCGCCTTCGAAAATCAACATCAGAGTACAAAGCAGTTGGGATAAAATAATCTTCCAAAAGATTCTTACCCCGAGAATGCCTATGTCTGTCCACATTCCGGCGACGGCCGACTTGTGAACCACGGCGGCGACCTTGGTTCTCTTCCTCTTCCATTGCCACTGCTATGAGAACTTGCTCATCGACTTGCCTCTGCAACTCATTGATTTCATCGGCTCTACGGTTTCTCTCCTTTCTTTCTCTCTCGTGCCTCTCCAAGCATCTCCTATATTCTTCCATTGAGAATGAATGGAGTATGAATTCTAAACTCTAAGAAATGAAAATATTGAAAGATGTGGTGTGAGAGGTATGATGTGAGCCTCTGGTTTTATAGAAAAATTTGGCAAGATAGAGATGCCACGTGGCTTGATTTGATTGGATGAAAATCTTATCTGAAATTTGAAATTCATCCGAAATTTGAACCCAAATTTATCTGAAATTTGAATTTTGAAATTCATCCGAAATTTGAACCCAAATTCATCTGAATTTTGAATTTTGAAATTCATCCGAAATTTGAATTTTGAAATTCATTCGAAATTTGAACCCAAAAATTTATCTGAAATTTGAATTTTGAAATTCATCCGAAATTTGAACCCAAAAATCTTATCCCGAAATTTTATCCGATTATGAATAGTGTTGACACGTAGGAACCCGTAAATCTTATCCGAAAATATTATCCAAATTAATTATTGAGGTAAAAAAAATTGTGAATAAAACAAAAAAATGAATAGTAACTGCCCTTAGCTAGGGCAATGGGTGGAAACACAAAATTCTGATTTTGCAAGGGCAACCACTATTCACGTGAATAGTGGCTGCCCTAGCTCCCCCCTTGCCATGGCTAAGGGCAATATGGGTGGAGTTGCTCTAACTAGCACCGATATTGTCCCCAACTTAGCCACCTGAAGTCCAATAAATGGGTCAATCCCAATAAATCTTTATTATAGGTGAGGGCTTTTCCCTAAAGACCTTGATGCTATTATCAATCAAACCCCTACATTTAAGGTGTAAATTACTGTTATAGTTACCCGATGTGGGACTCTATAAAAACAAATAAAGCGGTAGTTAATCAACAAGTCCTCCCCGTGTAGCTGACTTGGTAATTCGCTGAGTTCTTAACCTCGCTGTCGTTGACAAGTCTTTTTTTTGAAATGCTTGTTTAGCCATGATCATGGGCTCATGCCATGCGGCCCAGCCCAGGCTTCCCTGTAACAACTTCCATTGTTTTTATTTGTTTCTTTCTTCCTCTTTCGTTTTTTTTTCTTTCTTCCAAGTTGGTAATGATGTAATCTATCAACAATAAAGTAGAAATTGTATTTCCGTTAGTTGATTTTATGTTTTAATTATCAAATTTTGAGGCTAAAGATTGAATCGTAGATAATCAACTATGTCAATAAATATAATTCAATGTTTGAGATTTTCTTCTCATGTATCTCATTCATATCTTAATTCCAAAATATTAAATATGTGTCGGTGATAATATTATATGAGCAGTAGATGAAACTCCACCTTTTAAAGAGGTGATCGGAGAGACTCATCATGCTTCTTCTTCAAGTACAATTTAACTTGAGCATATTGCTAATTGTTTTTTTTTAATCAAAATGTATTTGATTCATATATATATATATATATATATTTCTTATTTGATGGATGATATAACATGATGGATACAATATGAATTTTGCTATTTGTATTATTTTAATCATTGTATCGGTGCCATACACATATCCTAGTTTTTGAAAATTTTCCGTATCGACGTATCCGTACCTGTACCCGTATCCATACAACATGTAAATTTTGCTTACTCAACTTCCAAATTCTGAATCCGCTGCTACTGACCATTTGGGTTGCACATGGTTCGGCTGGGCTGATACCCGTTTCTAATTATTCAAATTCTTTCTTCTGTACGTTTCTTATTTCTTTTATTGTCCAGCTAGATAGCAGCAGTGACTCCATGCTGCTTCTTCACTTTCATGGTAGTGACAAAGTTGGGGAAAATAAACACTATTCACTTTAAAAATTTCATGTACACCCTAGCTTATTTACTTGAAAAGCCGCAATGTTTAGGCCATCATTAGTTTTGTGGTTGTAAAGGTTCAGAAATCTTATCGAGAGCAAAATGATTGCGGGCTTCTCGTTTTGTTTTTCTTGTTCTTCTCCTCCTCTTGTTTTCGGGGTTATACCTTTTGCCTTGAGTGGCCAAGGATCCTCCATTCTTTTCGTCTATAGTTTTTCAATGGAAATGCAAAAACATAATGAATTGGTATAGTTGTTACTTGGTAACGAATCGATACCCATTGTATATTTAGCGACATTAGTAATGATTAGAGGGTTTCTAACTCCAAATAAATTTGACAACTCTGCCCTTAATTCTTATGCGTGAAGTATCTTGGAGCCGTTGATAATATGATTGTAAAGGGATTTAGTTCAAGTGTTTAAGAGCAATCATTCCTCTATTTTAGGTCCCTTTTTTTAATATTCCCATCACTCTCAATATCACTTGTAAAAAATACGGAGAAAAAAGAAAAAGAAAGGACACCGCATTTAGATTGAGTTTTTGGTGTTCTAACACATAAAGGTAACGCTTTCAGCTTATAATGTTTTCATGGCCTATTAGTTAAACTGTTTTCTGAAAGCGAGAAAGATGGCTATGGTGAATGTGATCCAATTGCCTTCGGTGGCTTGAATAAACTACAATTGTGGAAGATGATGCGCTTTGGAAGAGTATCATAAGCAATCACAACTTTTGCCTTTTGTCTTTGGGTCTCCAGCTAAATTCAACGTTGTAGTAAATAATCCCATTTTGTGAAAAGGAAATTTAATATGTAATTTAATACGAAAATATGTGGATATCCGAATAAAAAATTTACAAAAGGCCTCGGTGCTATTAGATTAATATTATTTATAATGGGCCTACCTTTTATGTTATGTTGGTACCGAATCAATGCATAGGCCCGCCCACATTTATGTGTTTTTTTTTATCGAACACTTATGTGTGTTGGCATGTAGGATTACCCTACTAGCACTTATGCATGTCGGTACTGAACCTCCACATAGTACCCACCAACTAGCACCGATATTGTCCCCAACTTAGCCACCTAAGTCCAATAGATTGGTCAAGCCCAATAGAACTTTATTATAGGTGTGGGGTTTTCCCTAAAGGCCTTGGTGCTATTATCAATCAAACCCCTATATTTAAAGTGTAAATTACTGTTACAGTTCCCCGATGTGGGACTCTACAAAGACGAATAAAGCGTTAATTAATCAACAACTTCCCTTGTAACTGACTAGGTAACTCGCTAGGTTCTTAAGCTTGCAATCGTTAGTTCAAGCCCCGTAATGATCGACGTTTATAATTTTTTGAAAATGCTTGGTTAGCATTGATCATGGGTTCATGCCATGCGGCCCAGCCCAGGCGGCTTCCCTGTTACAACTTCAATTTTTTTTTTTTTTTTTTTTTTTTCTTTCTTCTTTTGTTTTTTTCTTCTGTCCACTGTTGGTAATGATATAATCTAATCAAAAATAAAGTAGAAATTGTATTTCCATTATAATACCACAGTAATCAGACATTAAGCAAGGTCCATAAATTAACAAGCCAATTAACCCATTAGGTAATCATCCATCCATCCCCTATGAACTGTAGCAGACAAAATCTTAATTCAGCCTCTTTATATTATGATCAGTACATGTAGCCATTCATTTCTAAGGTATGGCTTTCACTACCTTCTAGCTCTCAAACTGAAGCAACTCCGACAATCACTTCGAATGATCCATCAGCTTCATGGTTTTCGAAGTAACAGACAGTATGGACTTCAGAGAGATTCATGAGTGCAAGCGCGAGAGCTCAAGGAGCCTGTCATGATATGAGTCAGTCAAAGGCATGAGAGTCCATAAATATCAATAAGTTGCCAATTCAACCTAAGAACATAGGCGCTGTTATCACCCCAAGCTGACAATAAACCAAAAGAAATTCAAGGCAAGAACATGGTTTTGTTTTCATGAAATTCAAGCCAAGAACATAGGTGTATGTAAACAAAAAACCATGTCAGATACAAAAGAAATTTCATGAAAATAGGTTTCAGATTTCATGTCCCTCATCCCAACTCTAACCTGATATCATCAAGTAGAATATGCTTTCTTTTTACTTAGCATTTCAAATCATCATGTAGGATATGCTTTCTTTTTACTCAACAGTGCTATTACAAGAATTGCAAATCCTTATCCACAAAGGCCTGAGACTAGTTCAAAGGACGAGGAACAGAACACCATTGTGGTCGAGACAAAAATTCATGACCATCACATTTAAACCAGCACTTTCGTACCTCTCAAAATCTCATACTATACTAATAGCTCCCAGCATTTCGCTAAGCTCAACTCGTAAGTTTGTAACCCTAATTTCATTAATTGAATCTTCACGTACATTCATGACACTCTTTTCCATACATAACCAGCACTGTTCTACAAAACAACCTAAAACCTTCATCCTGGTACCTGGCAGAAAATGCAAGCTCCATAGATGAGAGGAGAAAAAGGTGAAGACTACAGCTAAAAGCTTACAACAAAGCGCTCAGGAACTACGACAAAATAATAGCCCAGGACATCAGATAGCATCTTATACAACACAAACCCCCCTCTCCAAAACCAACACCAAAACCTAAACTTTCCCTTACACATCAAGATCTTAGAACCCTGACAAACCAGTCAACCTGAAACATAACTTTTAATCAATCACTTAACACAAGGCCTTGATGTTTTCAATCGGGAATTTTCTAAAAATGATCTTCCGAGGTCTTTAAGAATGAAAATAATTCTCAACTTGCTAGCAACATAATTTATTCCCCCCTCTAATACTCTTTCCCCATTAGTAATTGTGATTTAACAGCTAAGAAGTAATAAACAAGATAACAATTTATATATGTTCATTTGCTAACATCAATGAAACAAGTAAAGAACATACTCCAATGCAATAGCACCTATTTAGATGACAGAAGAAACTCCAATGCAGCACAGATGTGAAAACCACAGCTCTTATGCAGGGCATTGAGAAACAAACCCTTATTTCACGCAGTGATGAAAAGTGAATAGTTAAGATTTAAAAACAAAAACAAAAGCAAAACTATTAAAAGTACGAGAAATCAATCCAACGAGACAAATCAGACACAACTCTTTCTCATTTTCACCAATTGCCACAATGATTTTTAGTTGCTGAATTCGTGACAGGACTGACAACACATTTTAAAGACAACCTGTCTATCAATGACATTGCGATCGGCAAATTGTTTCGATAGGAAACATTATATCTTTCGTCCAAAAAAAAACATTATATCTGAATTATGCATTCAAAATCATCAAATTCTGCACTTTCAAGAGAAACCCTATGTCAAATTCCAAAACCAAAAACATGCCCGTATCCTCTGGAAAAAAAGATCCCGCCAAACTCTCTCTGTATTCTCCACCACAGTTGCATTCCAATATCTACATTACCAAAGGCACCAAATCAAAGCAATCAGAAATGCATATAAGAAAACAGTAAAACTCACAGAATCCCAATCAATGAAACTATAAACTGAGAAGAACCCATTAATTAAAAGCTCAAATCAAAACCAACCTGTCTTCCTCGGGAATATCCGAATGCGTTAGCTTGACAACAGTGAGCCAGGTTCAGGCTCTTCGAGTGTAAGCCACACCTGCAAAAATTCAAACGAAACACACTCAATCCACAAATCACAAAACCAATTAAAATCAACCAAAAATACGTTCAACCAAAAGCAAAACTTCACATACCGTTAATCAACCCATCAAGCCAGCTCCCAAATCTCCACTTCTGCACAATCAAACTCCCATTCTACAACTCCAAATTGGTAATCGACCGACCCATCAAAAATAGTATCGACTAAATAAAAAAGTGGAGCAGCTGCTCACAAGTGTAAGGGATTATCAGAGCATCATACATTCGAAATTTGGCGGAAAAAGGGCAAAAACATTTGGACCATTTCTCGATTTATGCGTGTCATCCTTGCGCAGGGGCCATGCTAATCTTCTCTGTATCGTTCCAATTTTATCGGATGTCCCCGAAGGGACGAGCCTAAGTCTTAAGCGCAAGTATATAAAGAACTCGTCAAATACACAATTCTTCGATGTGGGACAAAGCCTCCGCGGTTTTAATAGTAAGTTATTCCCTTTTTTTTTCTTTTCTTCCAAGTTGGTAATGATGTAATCTATGAAAAATAAAGTAGAAATTGTATTTCCATTAAAATACCACAGTAGTCAGACATTAAGGAAGGTCCATAATTAACAAGCCAATTAACTCATTAGGTAATCATCCATGAAAAGGACCAAAACTGTAGCAGACAAATCATACGTCAGTCCAGCTTAACTTTTACTCAATTTTATTTAAATTTGATTACATTTATTGATTGTTTCAGGACGTAGTCATACTAGTTAATTTATTTGATTTTATGTGTTTTTTAGGATCTTTTCTATTGAGAGAGACAATAGAATATTAAACTCACACATACTACACCAATGCTAGGACTCGAATGGCAGCATTTGTTCCAAATCATTACACTTAGTGAGTCCTTTGATTTTATGTTTTAATTATCAAATTTGAGGCTAAATGTTGTATCGTAGATAATCAACTATGTCAATAAATGGAATCAATGCTTGAGAATTTCTTCTCATATATCACATTCATATCTTAATTCCAAAATACTAAATATGTGTCGGTGATAATTTTATATGAATAGCTTAAATTCCTCCTGGTAGTTTGAGTAGATGAAACTCCACCTTTTAGAGAGGTGATCGGAGAGACTCATCCTGCTTCTTTTTCAAGTTCAATTTAAGTTGGGCAGCTTAAATTCCAACTGAAGCTCACAGGGCAATTTTGGGCCTCCTGCTTGATAAACGGACAATTGTTAAGCTTGGTCCAAATAGAAGACTAAACTCGGCCTGATTAACAAACAAATACATTAAAAGGTGGGTTTACAATATTATTAAAAGGCCCATTTTGTAAGATTTTCTTTTTCTTTTTCTATAGAGACAAGAAAGAGATGCCTGAGAAATGAGGGAGGGGTGGGGGAAAGAAAAGAGGGAGAAAATATAAAACTATTTAGTATTTTAAACCTTTAATTAATGGCTCCCTATAATTTAATGCTGCTTTATTTTATGAGTATTTTAAACCTTTAATTAATTTTAATGATTTTTTATATTATTTTTTATAAAGATTGACCAATTAAAAAAGAGTTATAGCATTTATAAGTTCCTAAATTAGAGAGTATGATTGGAGTTAAAATTTTAGAGAGAGCTCATAAAATAGCTTTTGTATATTTTTAGATAAATTTTAACTACAAAATAGAGAGCATGATTATATAGTCATCTAATTCTATGAATTCTTTTTTTTGGGTCGGATATTTGATTATAAGATATAATTAGTATGATACATACATGTAGCTGGGGTGAGAGGCAAAGCCTGCTGGTCAAAGTGCTTATTAACTTGTTCCAAACGCTTTTATAGAATGATCTATAAAGTGGCTTGGTAAGTGGTAACCTTTTCCCAGAACAAAAATAAAAAGGTAACCTTTCCAAAAAGCTTAATTAATAATCACTGACATGCGTGACACAAAATGAGCTTGTTAAAAGCATTATCGGTGTCTAATAGTTAAACCCCACAATTATTCGTGATCATTGCGCTATAACGGATGTCAATGGCTGTAATGTGGTTTTCTTGTAGTGATTGTTGGTTGTTAATGGAATGTTCACTACTCTAAGCAAAAACTTGAACAAGAAGCTTAAAAGAGAAACGGGTGGGTGCCCCAGGATGATGTTGGATCCATCCTCATGTACAAATACAAATAATGCGTATGCCTCGCTTGGTGTTCTGTTGTTCAACTTTTGTGCTGGGGTTTCACATGGGTCGGCTGGGCTGATGCCCGTTTCTTCTCTACGTTTCTTATTTGAATTATTGTCCAGCTAGATAGCATCATAGTAGCTTCTTCACTCTCATGAGTACGTAGTGAAAAGGTTGGGAAAATTATTATTGCTTGAAAAGCCGCAATGTTTAGGCCATCATTAGTTTGTTGTTGTAAAGGTTCAGAAATCTTATCGAGAGCAAAATTATTGCAGGTTTCTCGTTTTGTTTTTCTTGTTTTTCTCCTCTTGTTTTTCGGGGTTATGCCTTTTGCCTTGAGCGGCCAAGGATCCTCCATTCTTTTCATCTTTAGTTTTTCGATGGAAGTGCAAAAACATAATGAAATGGTCCTCTTTTCATCTTTAGCGACATTAGTACTCGTAATGATTCGATGGTTTCTAACTCAAAATACATTTGACAACTTTGCACTTAATTCCGAGTGCATGAAGTATCTTGGAACCGTTTGATAATATAATTGTAAAATGATTTAGTTCAAGTGTTTAAGAGCAATTATTTCTCCATATGAGGTCTTTTCGAATATCCCGACTATCAATATCGCTTGTAAAAAAAAATTACAAAAATACGAAAGGACACAAAAAAAAGAACGACTGGCTGCCAAACACTAATGACTATTTTGCTGAAAATATTGTCAACATATTCAATCCAATTCAATTGTGAAGAATTCAAAAGTGCCAATCTTGTTTTTAAGTTCAACTCTGAAACATTCTTCTATAATAACAAAGCAATGCATAAAAAGATAAAGGAGAATAGTATGGGAATACTTCATATGGAAGACCTCTTGTAATTCGAATTTCGTTCATTATAAATCATGTTGCTTTTCTTTTTCTTTCTTTTTTAACAGAGTGGTAAAATAGTACCGTTTACCATATTGGATAAAGAGAGGGGGAGATATGAAGTCATGTGCTCAAGAAGTCATGTTTGGGACAAAATGCATAACAGATCAAAATGTCCCACTGAAACTTAGAAAAATCATACGATGCAGCTTGTCTTTGTCTAGCAAATGGTGGACTGAAGACACCGCATTTAGATTGATTTGCATATATCCGAATAAAAAATGTACAAAAGGTCTCGGTGCTATTAGATTAATAGTATTTATAGTGGGCCTACTTTTTATGCATGTTGGTACCGAATCAATGCATAAGCCCACCACAACACTTATTTGTGTGTGTTTTTTTTTAATTGTCAAACACTTATGTGTGTGTTGGTATGTAGGATTATTACCCCACTAGCACTTATGCATGTCGGTACCGAACCTCCACATAGTACCCACCAACTAGTACCGATATTGTCCCCAACTTAACCACCTAAGTCCAATAGATTGATCAAGCCCAATAGACCTTTATTATAGGTGTGAGGTTTTCCCTAAAGGCCTTGGTGCTATTATCTATCAAACCCCTATATTTAAGGTGTAAATTACTGTTATAGTTCCCCGATGTGGGACTCTATAAAAACGAATAAAGCCGTAATTAATAATCAACTTCCCTTGTAACAGACTTGGTAATTCGGTAAGTTCTTAACCTTGCTGTCGTTGACTAGTCTATTTTTCTGAAAATGCTTGTTTACCCATGATCATGGGCTTAAGCCATGCGGCCCAGCCCAGGCTTCCCTGTTATAACTTCCATTGTTTTTTGCCCTTTCTTCTGACAAGTTGGTAATGATGTAATCTATCAAAAACAAAGTAGAAATTGTATTTTTCAGACCAAAAAAAGTAGAAATTGTATTTCCATTAAGATACCACAGTAATTAGACATTAAGCAAGGTCCATAAATTAACAAGGCAATTAACCCATTAGGTAATCATCCATCCATCCCCTATGAAAAGGAACAAAATCTTAATTTGGCATCCAATCTAATGTAAAGCATTCCATCTTGAGATTGATTCAGCCTCTTTATATTATTATCAGTACATGTAGGCATTCATTTCTAAGTCTTTATCATTTATGCGGATGCTATAGTCTCATACATCAGTCCAGCTCTGTGGACGCATTGAGAAAACTTAGCTTTTACTCAATTTTATTCAAATTCGATTACATTTATTGATTGTTTTAGGAGGACGTAATCATATTAGTTAATCTCTTTGATTTTATGTATTTTTTAGGACCTTTCATATTAAGAGATGCGATAATATATTAAACTCTCACACACTACACCGATACTAGAACTTGAATGAGAGCATTTGTTTCAAACTACTATATTAATGGGTCCTTTAATTTTATATTTTAATTATCAAATTTGATGTATTGTAAATGAAATCAATGCTTGAGAATTTCTTCTCATATATCTCATTAATATCTTAATTCCAAAATACTTTTTTTGGGCTAAAAGACATTTTTGGTCTCTATAGTTTGACATTTCAACCACTTTTGACTGTGTAACTTCAATTCCGTCAATTTTGACCATGTAGTTTTGTATTTGTAGCAATTCAATGACAAGTTAGTGTTACTATCAATTTCTTTGACGGTGCAAGGGGCAATTTCATCAACCCAAAATCTTTGAGCATAAAAGTTTGTCTGAAACTCCCCTAATTTCATATTAGGGCTTGAAATTGGCCATTTGGGTTTAGGGTTCTTCAAAAATTAAGATTAATGGTTGAATTTCGAGCCCTAATATGAAATGGGGAGAATTTCAAACAAGCTTTTACGCTAAGGGTTTTGGGTTGACGAAATTGCCCCTTGCATCGTTAAAGAAATTGAAAAGAATACTAACATGTCCTTGAATTGTTACAACTACGAAACTACAATGGCAAATTGACGGAATTGAAACTACATGGTCAAAAATGGTTGAAGTGCCAAATTATAAAGACCAAAAGTGACTTGTTGCCTACTTTTTTTTCCCTCTAAATTTACGTCGGTGGTAATATTATATGAGTTGCATTTGGCTTGGTTTGGGATTAGGACTAAAATCAGCTCTTTCATAAGTGCAGAAAGCGAAATCATAGTCCAGGACACCCACATATGTTGTTCATGGTGGAACCTCCTTTTCTCGATCCTTTGTTCTCTCCAACCAGGTGGAACTCTAGATATTTAATTTTAATAATATGTATGTTCCCAATTTATCTTTGTTTTAT